GTCAGCACAGATTACATGCAATGTCGAGTGAAATGAAAATCCATGTGGAATTCAAACTCTAGTCACCCAGTTTCATAATCTTAGAGGTTACTGAATAGCTCGAATAGTGTTAGCAGTAACGTTTCATACTGTGAGGTTGAATGATCTGGGTTCAAATCCATTATGAGGCACCAGTCTATTCAAGATAGCAAGTACACTTTATGGACGATTATCAAATAACTGGCACGAAATCTAAGTCGAGTAGGGTTCATCGCCGGTTATCTACAACCAGCTAACAAAATTGTTCACTTAATATTCCTACTCATAAAACTCACTTAGATTCATGAGCATATTATTGTCACAATAATTAAATAGTTGTCCTTTGGTTTTCAAACAGTGAAAAAACTTTCCATTTCAAGTTTTATACCTTACGTTTCTTAGTTATACATTCAATGAATAAGAATAACATAACTTAGTATATTCGACAACATCCCTGACAAGAAAAAAAAAGGGTAGAATTACCTGATTCTTCATTATTTTACTTAAACAATAAAAGAGTAATTAAAACCATTTTCGAAGTTACACAAAAAAAGAATGGACAATATGCATATTGTAAACCGGAAACTCCACCCTAGTTTATGGTAAAATTGAAATGAATAAATATGGGGCCAAAAATGGTAAATTATTTTTTAAATGTGAGAAAAGTAATTATTCTAATTTCTGCATTATTGAATTCATAAAACTCAACGTTCATAGAACACTCTTCCTCTCTGTGATGCCAAATGACGTATAGAGAAAAATAGACCTGAATAAAATGAAGCAATAATCTAACAATATCAGGTCGGTAGTGTATTGAATTGACGAGAAAGATGATGATGATGATGATGTGTGAATAGATTCTATTTACTTATGTCTTTTAACATTTTATGTACTCGCGTGACACTGATGATGACCAGTAAGGACAAAATTGTTGACCAAAATAAATAAGGATATAAATAGCAAAGAAAAAAAAACATTTTTCGGGTTATTTTATTCATTACAAATAACAAAATTACCAAACTTTGTAGAATGGTAAGGAGAAAAACAGTAAAATGAAATGTTTATTCTTCTAAATAATAGTTTCCTCATATTTCATAGTTCAGACATATAAATAGACCTAACAGTAGTAATCATAAATTTTTATTATTTTGAGTTATGTATTAGGATGGTAGATTAGTTAACTCTGACAGATAGTTTGATGGTGAATGTGTATGTGTAGTTAAAAAAAAAACATCATTTATCTAACACTAAAATACAGCGTACGGCAACTGAATAGATGCCCATATTTTAAACTTAATCAATCTAAGAAACATTGAACTGTTTATACTTTTAACTGAAAGTTGGTCATTCTTAGTTGGGATGCATATGTACATCCTATATGGATTGCCTGAATATTGTCATTATGATATAAATTAGTATAGAATAGCTGGAATGTTGTTAGTCGTGGAATTAAGGATGCACGTATCAATATATTTGGGATTCAGTGTTGGGTTCGAGTTCTGGTAAAACATCAACTCTAGGATGTAATTACATCGAGCTGATAGGTAAACTACTGATTATGTCAGATTTAAGTATATTTAACTGAAGAGTGCCAATAAATATAAGATCTATAATCATCGACTCTTAAGTCAAATTTCTAAAACAATTCAGTATGTTATTTAATGGTTGAACTCATCAGTCGATTAAGGCTAGACCACCATTTAAAACCTGCAAGCACTGGGCGGCTGAGGAGTCCCATACTAGAACAAAACGGACGTCCAGTGCTTCCAGATTTTCAAGCTTAAATCGACTAATGAATTCAACCATTAAATTACTACAATCTCCACAAAACCCCCATTCTGATAATTCAGTATGTAACAATAAATGCTACGGATTGTTGAGGAAGATGAAATTGGTATAATATTCTTTTTAAATCATCAATATCCTAACGTTAAAAATACTATTGATCTAGAACAGTTTATAATTATTAAGATTAATGATTGAACCACATTTTAGAAAGTGATCTGAACTGATTTGTTATCTATTTATTAATTTACGTATAAAATATGAAACATCCGTAATGACAGGAAAGGAGTTGTATAATCTCTATGGTCGGATTATCGATTAGTTAACATATATTGCGAACATGATCAATGATCTATTTACCAACTGCCACATCGACCGATTAACAACTACCAAGACATTAACACAAAAATTAACTTCAAGTTGATATAGCAACCTAAAGTTACATAAATGCATGAAATTCGTGAAATGTGCAGGAGAGGAGGACTAGGGAATAATACTAAACTTAGAGATAGGGCAAGATCGGCCAACTTGAGTATGAACTATACTACAATTGTGAAGGCTAATAATAGTGCCTCAACCGTAGTAAGTGGAGCGGGGTTTGGACCATTGGTTTAATGGCCAAAAGTCGAATGCCTTAATCACTAGGCCACTGCTCAAGACAACACTGGCTCACAGATCCTCCATGTGACAATCACTTAGCTTTACTTCAACGCTGCTGATGGAATGAATCTAGTTTGTGCAAAGACAAATACAACTGAAAATCTTCAGTAATCAAAGTTCAATAGTCATATTGTGCAACTGTAAATTTACGGTAAACACAGTTATTGATTAAACCTTTTCAAGTACAATAATTGTTACATAATATTATTTGTTTCGTATCAAAGATTTCCGGTCTACAAGCTTTTCTATAGATTTATTCACTAAAACATCAACCAAAATGTAGGTTATGCCTGAAAGCAACGCTCTTAACGTATTTAAAAAATTATAAAGTTGAGATCATGAGTCAATTGAATATAGACCACCAGGTTTTCCATGGTGGTGGATGGATTCTTAAAGTTTTATCAAGGAGATTCAGAAGAAAATAAGCATAAGATTTGAATATAAACACTGAATAACAATATATTACACTAGATCGCATATTCATCAAAATTTGAAATATGGATTAGTATGTAAATTGCAGATATTATAGCCTTTTGTAAGGAAATAGATTTGATTCCATTTGAAGTTGTAATAGCATCCAACTGAGTCTCTAACTAAAAAAAAACAACTGTTCAGTCCTCTATCGATTTCAATGGTTTATTAGTTAATTGCACGAAATCTCCATGCATTGAACATTTCATTATGAATGCAGCAAATGATACAGTTTCGCTCTATATATTATCCGTCTATCAATTGAGGGACGAGTATACTGCGCAGCAGTTCACTCTGTTCTACTTTACGGCCGTGAAAAAAAGAGTAGAAGATACTCGTAAGTTACTAGTATTTGACCACAGATGTCTGAGAAATATTGCTCGCATCTGCTGGGATCACCGGGTAAGTAATAGTGGGGTTCGACACAGGGTATTAGGGAGTGATGGTAAATCAGTTGATGAGGTCATGAATCTTCATCGACTGAGATGGATGGACCACGTATTACGTATGTCTGAACACCGATTACCACGACGAGATGTTGACTAATGTAGGGGATGGTTGGAAGAGAGTTAAAGGCGGCCAAACCTAAACGTGACATCAGAGCTTGAAGTCACTAACTTCTAGTCTGAGCCATGTTGGCAGATGCAGACTACTTGGTTGGGGTCCGCTTCACTATCGGAACCAATGGTTGGAGACTCTAGATGACATGGCTCAGAATCGATCACAATGGCGCAGGTGTATACACTCTTTATCTTCCCTTAAACCTGAAGATCAAAATTGCTTCATAACGTTCTTCCTTCCTATACTATATCCTTATATACAACCTATCTTTTATATACTACCACAACGAAATTAACTATTTCTATGAATTCGGTGTTCATCTTGTTGTGCTAATGAAGTATGGCAACTCGGACCGATGCATAAATGTGCCTGGTCCTACATTGTAGCTGACTGACTGATATTAGAATTACCATATTTATATATAGACAAGGATTATATGGGTTTCAGTGAATATGATATGCATGAATACATTTACGATTTATCAGTGTAATAAAGATTGGTGATCTAAATGACAGAAGAAACTAAGGGAATAACTAATTAAACATCTCATGAATGACTGAAATTAGGGTATAAACTCTACCAAACCCTTGAATTATTTAAAACACAGACGATTACAGGTGTTATGTAGCGGTAAAAGGAGGTTTTCAAAATTTTTCCAACAAATTTTCGTTATTATTAGCTGTCACGCTTTTTTACTTTTTAAAAAAATATCTAGTTAATCAGATTGAATGGTAGGCGCTTGTTGGTTCGACCACTTAACTTTCAAAGAAAAAGACAACACTGAATGGAAGATTCAGGAAATCTCTATGAATTGAACATTTCATTATAAATGTAGCACATGATACAGTTTTGCTCTATATTAGAATTACCATATTTATATATACAGACAAGGATTATATGGGTTTCAGTAAATATGATATGCATGAATAAATTTACGAATTATCAGTGTAATAAAGATTGGTGATCTAAATGACAGAAGAAACTAAGGGAATAACTAATTATACATCTCATGAATGACTGAAATTAGGGTTTTATAACAATATCAGTATTATCAATATGAATCCCAACAAAGCATATAATACACGATATAATGGAATTTTATGCTTGAAAATGTTATATTTAAAAGAATTTTCTTGTAAAAACAAATAATCTATCCTCATAGTTGAAAGCGTGAGTCAATTGAAGTTAGACCACTATGGAAAACCTGGAAGCACTAGACGGCCGTTTCGTCCTATTGTGGCCGGCTCAGTGGTCTATCGGTTAAGTGATCTGGCGCGAGACTGGTAGGTTCTGGGTTCGAATCTCGCGAGTCGAGATCGTGGATGCGCACTGCTGAGGAGTCCCACAATAGGGCAAATCGGCCGTCCAGTGCTTCCAGGTCTTCCTTGGTGGTCTATCTTCAATTGACTGACGCTATCAACTATGAAAATACTAAATCTCCACAAAAACCCCCTTCTGATAAAAATAATTTATCATTTTATAATATTTATAACATTTTAACTTACCGAAATACTTTTTTATCCACTTCACTCATAACATTTTCAACTGGATCTATGCATAAATCTAAACTGCACAAAGGTTTTCGTCTACTATTGATAAGAATGGTAGCTTCAATGAATAAGTCAAGAGGATTTGTAGTACTTATACTTGTTGTTTTGACAGATGATGTGTTTTTTGTTGGAGGATCATTGTTAGACGATCGTATTCTATTCATAGTGATTAATTCCAATCTAATGTAGAAAAAAAAGAAAAGAAAAAGAAATACTCAAGGAGAATTTCATTGTGTAAAAATATGTGTATATTTGTGCGGGTTTGTATCATCACGTTGATGTTAAGAGCTATAAATAATCAGTCTCTAATGATATAAATGTATTGTCAATAGTGTTTGTAAATATTGTCATTTAGTCGCAAAATTTAGCCAATGTTGAACAGTGACTAGCCGTGTAGTCCAAGATGCACATCGAACGTACTTCCATCCCACTGTAGATGAGAATACTGAAACTCGAACGCAGTAACCTTCGCAAAAAATACTTAAGAGTGATTTGCTGAACTACTGGGTTAAGATAGCCATTAGCTCGCACAACGGAAAACGCACTGAGTACTCAGATAGAAAGGTGCTGAGCTCGAGTCTCAGTGTGGACATCGACACTAAATTCAGTTGACGAGATTCGAATAGAATGAAACGCGTATCCTGCATTTCACTACTAGCTACTATCCGAATTTAATTGATGCATATATAATATTCATAAACACAATTGAATATTACTACATAAATTTTAGTCACTATTTAACGAGATTGAACATTACTATTATTTTTCCAGTTAGCCTTTCGTGACACACTTTTATTATTCTGCACGGTTACTCAGATCATCATGTTCCTAGTTCCACGTACTCGATAAACTAACTCTTTTCTACAAGCTAGCTTAACAAAAAGATGCGTACGGTTTGGAAACAAACCTACTAACAATGAGTGATTCATTTAAATCAATACAAGTACATAACTAAGCATGAGTATGTATAATCGGCTTTGAGCCAAATGTTCAGTAGTGTTCTGTTTATGTAGGCTTGTTATATTAGGATGCGTTATTCATCAGACGATTGTTTTGTCGTGAACAAAACACGACTGGGGACAATCGAATGTATTTAAGCAAAAATTACAGACTATCTCACTAAATTCGGATAACCATACAGCAACCAGTTAACTTGCAAAATAACAGTCAATTGTCTCAATCTTCACCGTTCCTTCTGTAAATATTAGTTCATCTCTAATTCCATTGTTCATGCATTTTCCTACCAATTGCGCTTCATCTCAGTTTTTTCCTTATCGGTCTTCTGCCAAAAAACATTCTGTCTGACCATCGCCATATACTACTTATATGAATATAAGTAGACCACACTACAGTTTCACACAAACAAACAGAAACTAATATCAAGTCATAATTGGTATAAACTTCACCAAACCCTTGATTTATTCACAACATAAACGATTACAGGTGCTACGTAGCGGTAAAAGGATGTTTTCAAAATTTTCCGAACAAATTTTCGTTATTATTAGCTGTCACGCTTTTTTTACTTTGGAAAAAATATCTACATTTATTCAGATTGAACAGTAGGCGCTTGTTGGTTCGAACACTTAACTTCCAAAGAAAAAAACACTGAATGGAAGACTCAGTTACAAATGTAAAGTAATAAAAGCCAGCTACGTATGTAAACCTACTTGCACATGATTAACTGAGAGTTACATAAATCTAATCCTTAAAATAAAATATGAAAGACGACGATAAAATATTTTAGAGATGAAGAAGGAGATTGGTAACTCAGAAAGATAACTTGGTTAAAGTTCTTTACTTTAGTCTGATTGACGTTTGATTGTGAAGCTATCTTTATCATTCTACACCACATTATCAGTTCATAGATTAGATACAAAAGATTTTGACAGTTGAAATCAATGTGTAACTAATCATAGGATAAATATCAACAGTAGCAACAAAATCCAATTAACTCCAAGGTTAGCAGAATAAGTTGATGATCAGTTGTGAAAAAAAACAGATTCTAACTATTCACTACTATTTTCATAGTTGAAATCATGAGTCAATTGAAGACAGACCAACATGGAAAACCTAGAAGCACTGGACGGACGTTTCGTCCTATTGTGGGACTCCTCAGCAGTGAGTATCCACGATGCCACCTCACGAGATTCGAACCAAGGACCTACCGCCAGAGCACTTAACCGATAGACCACTGAGCCGGCGCGAGACTGGTAGGTTTTCTATGGTGGTCTAGCTTCAATTGACTCATGATTTCAACTATGAAAATACTGAAATCTCCACAAAACCCCTTCTGATTATTCATTACTATCTTAAATTTGTATTGCTGATAAATGTTGCTGTCTTGCTAAAACGTTTCATAAACAACCATCAGTGAATGCAACTTGAACAAAATAAACTGATGTAAACAATGATTGAACATAAACAGTAATTAACACATCAACTAAATCATGATGTAAACTATTAAGGTACGATTATACTTTTAACCAACGGGGGTTAATAATAATGGAAAATCCCGATTGAGCAAAATGAAACAGACAAAATTGACTATTGAATTTAAAAACTTGTGAAACTTAGTTGTTTCTTTTTTGTTATCAAAATGGATGACAATGATCAAACAAAATTTATTCATAATGAAAAAGGAAAAACTACTGATGAAATATTAAACAGAGTAGTATATTGTGTATGGTGGTTGAAACAATAGAGATAAGCAATAGAGAAAGTGAATTAAATAAAAACAAAAGAAAATATGGAATAATAACAAATGTTAACTTATTTGTCTGTGTCTCAAGTGTGTACCCTCTCTCTCTCGCATACCTACTCTGTCAAAGAGTTTTATATGGGGTAAACAATATTAATAAAAGGAGGGAATAGGAATGTATGAAACAAAAACACACGAAACATAATATAATTTGAGCATTTTGTTTTCTTACCATAACAAATACTACTTATACTACTTTAATCTTTATTATTATTATTATTATTTACAGACAATTATATTAATGAATTGGTTGTCTGCTTGACTATACTCATCAAGTTAGTGTGCATGCACATACACATAGATTAATTATTAAAGAGGGTAGTAAACATTAAACAAACATTTTATCTTTGGTGATAAATAAACTGTTTCTATGATCTAAAGATTATAACAAAAGAAAAACCATATAAAAAGTAAAATAATTTGTGACATAGAGATGAAATGATGAAGATAAATGTCAGATTAATAGAAGTATTAACAATACAAGTGGTAGCAGAAAAGACTAGACCTAGACAGGATGTTTCGAGAAGGAAAATCAATTAGTGGAACAGAGGGTGCATACTAATTAGCGTAACCGACTTTGAAATATATTATCTAATTTCTGGACTAATTGGTTACGATAATCGAGAGGACCTCAACAATGTAGCCCGTAAGTACTTACTTCCAACAGTCAATGAATTCATGGACTGTTAGTGTCATTATTTGGTTTCTCCTATCTCTTTCCCAACATACTGTGATACTAGACAACATCGCGTGTTGAAGTAGGCAGTGTTTAAGTGCACATAATACATGTTTCAACCCTCTCAGTTGATAACGATTTGCTACCTTATCAACCGGTTCAATATCTTCATTCAGTGCTTGCGATTAGACTCAACATAGTTTACTTAGTGGTCCCGATATGTACGAGCAATACGTCGAAGGCATCTATAATTAAATACTAGTAACCTACAAATGTCCTATATCTCGGTTAGTTGAGAGCTTCACAAAGCCTGACGAGTAACAAATTTAGTTGTAATATAAAAAATAATATGAATACAATAGAATAGTAAATTGTTCCAGAGATTTGCAGGAACACTTTATAACTTTTAGGGATTAAAGACTAGCCTGTCTTTTGAATAATAGCTGAAATAAATCGATCCCCTAGCTAATTAATATCAAAACCCATTATTATTGTAAAAGATGTAGATGAGTATATATTCGTGGAATGGGGACACATGTAGATATAGCAGTAAAATGAGAAAGGAATTGCTTAACATGTGAAAAGTGAACTTGGAGTAATACGTTATCAATGTTAATTTTAGATGTTCAAGAACGTAAAATGAGTATATCATATCAGAGATGAGACTATTGACAAGAAGTAAATATTACAATATAGATTTCGTAGTTTGATACACAGAATTTCATGAAATCGAAAGTAAACAGAGGATTATTTGACCGATCGATAAAACACACAGTCACCATTCATTCGGAATTCTAGTTTGTATTATCAAAAAGCATGAAAGCCAGAAATCCCACCTGAAAAAGTTTAAACCTAACTTATTTGTACAGCTATTCAATACCAAACATTTCGTATATGAAACCAGAAGAAGAATTTCATTACTGATTCACAAGTACCAGTTTAACGGATGTATACCATCATCAATCAATTATGTTGTTCTCAAGGAACGATTAATGAAACAATGATAAAAAGGACAGTATCTGTCAAGTGCGGTCAGTGAAAGTAACATATTATTGGCAAGTGGACAATGATAGACAAGCTGTTTAATCTAACTTATGAACCATTGTTGAGGGTAAAACAGTGATTTCACTGTTAGAGTTCACGCCATATGACTGAAAATATTTGGAGTGAATAAATTATTCTGTCTCTATAATCTAGTTGTCGGTCAAATATTGTGCGGGTCTAGTATAGCGTTGTCTCATTTAGTATCGTAATAAAGAGTTCCTAGTCTACTATTATCCTGAGTAACGCATAGTGTAGTGTACTTATGTCTTATCAGATATTTCGTATTGAGGACAAATTTTTTTAAATACCTTAGTTATGTTAAATATGAGCAGGGATGAGAGATGAAATTAAATCAAACAAGACACTTTCACCGTAACTTTTTTTAAACATTTACTTCTAAAAACAACGATATAAAACATGAATCAAAACAATTACATGTTGTTTTGCAAGCTTATAAAAATCCTTCCCCCCCCCCATTTTTGTTTTAAAACCAACTGCCAATAATGAAAGTATATAGGAAGTAAGCAACAACTAGAAAACAGTCTCAAAATTTAAGCATGGAAAAAAGAAATTAAGAATACTTAAGAAACAATAATCATTAAAAATTAGTCCCAGTGACAAGCATTGCTGAGATGTGTTGGAGAATATGAGATAATATACTATGAATTGTAACAAAAAATGAAGTAGTCGGACATCAGAATTAGGAAATTATCATCAGTGTATTTAAAATTAACAGGTTTTTAGTGAAGAAACTAGCAAAATATAACACTTCAAAAATATGAATACACTAAGTATTTACAGACAAATCAGTGAATCTTATGTAGTTGAGATCATGAGTCAATTGAAGCAAAACCACCATGGAAAACCTGGAAGCACTGGACGACTGTTTTGCCCTATTGTGGGACTACTCAGCAGTGCGCATCCTATCCCTCGAAAGCTGTTGCAGAAACGACGGGAACCCCTTGCAAAGCTCGACTTCCGTTTCGTCAGGTGGGTAAGTCGTCACCGGCTATAAAGGTTAGGACGGTCTGATCAATGTCGTCTGGGCAGCATACCAGTTGAACCGCTCCTTGAGAGTCCTACCCATCGTCCAAAACGTCGGTAGATGTTAGTGATTGGAATTCCGACATCTTCACAGATTGTTTCACACGTCAAACTTCTTGCTACCAATGGCTCGGATGAGTTGAAAGAGCTTCCGACAGTTACGGAAGCAGCTGCTGTCTCCAGCTCGTTAGCATGCTCTGACAACCAGGCTTCTTGGTCCTTAGTCAAGCTTTGTACAATTTCATTAGGCAACAATCATCGTTTATGGTCAAAGTCGAGGTCACTTGGAGTAGACCGATGGGCTTCAATGAGTTGTAAGCGAACTGAAGAAACCTAGTGCATATAAGCGGGACGTTTCGCGAAGCCGGAAGCAGCTTTACCCGCCATTTTCATGTATTCAATGCAACTACAGCCAACACTCACCTATACTTCTCGGTGGACTGGTAACTAGCCTTGAACCTTGTTCGGTTTAATTGCAACAGAAGTTGCAACCAACTTACTAGCATCGATCTGTTTACGATGATGAATTTGTTGGCCACTGAAAAGTAATGTAAGATTAGCGCAAACAAGGGCATGACCAGAGTCCAGATAGGTACTCCAAAAGAAGTAGAAGTCTCGTACACAATCACGATGTGATCAATATGAGTACAGGCTTGAGATGCAGAGGGAGGACGCCAGGTGGCGCATCGGCGATGACTGTGCCGGAAGTCAGTGCTAGCTAGAAACAGGTTGTAGTCTGTGCACACTTGCAGTAGACGGTCCCCATTATCTGACCTGCGACCAACAAGTCCATATCGGCAACCTAAACGACTATCTTCTGTGCCTAGACGCCCAACCTGTGCATTCAAGTCTCCGGCTAATACTACAATGTCTGTCGAACGCACTTTCTATGTAAGAACAGTTAATTGGTTGTAAAACTTATCATTGACTGCATTCGGTCTGCAATATGTCGGAAATGACGAAAAAGCATCGTTTGTAACACCGATTTTTTCTTACTTTGATGGAACTTTCTTATCTTACAGCACATAACCGACTGTTAATGGAGATCTAATCGGTCAGTGCTGCCTAAGCTCTAGTGCTTAGTGCGACACAAACGCCATAAAATCCACACGAAGATGCCACAGGGTACCCGGATAAACGCACGTGAGACAAGCTTTTCGAAGCGACCGATGGAGATCTAATTTGTAGTACTTCACTAGAGTCTTGAATATGGGTTTCGGATAGACAACAGACGTCGATATTAAGACTTTCTAGAGACATAGTCAACCCTATCTGTTATCGTTTCTGCATTAGTGTGCGAACGTTGAAGGATGCTGGTTTGCATGCTATATGTAGTTTCAGAAAGACTGGTTCAGTATCCGTACTTAGTGGTAGCAATTAACTTACGACCAGTCAGTCACTCGAGGTCGTTTACAATATTTTCATACGCCATTTGTTCCCCAAAGATCCTGGAGACTATGTGTACTGTTGGTTTGGAATCAGGGTTTTTTCAATTCTCCTGAGTGAATACTCCGCACCCACCAACCCGGTTAAAGAGCCAAACATTCGCTTTTCTTCCTCTCAATCACGTAAACAGCACCCTTGTCGGGAGAACGCAGTGAGTAGGACTTCCCTTGCAATGGTTGTATTTACTTTTGAATTAATTGAACCGAATATTATTTAAGATCAATTAATTTAGGGTATCAGTAAAAACTTACAATACTATGGAATGAAATGGCTATAACTGACAGAGGTGAAGCGTTCACGCGAGATATCGAAGGTTCTGAGTTCGATTCTTGCGTATGGGATTGTGAATGCACAGTGTCGAGGAGTTCCGTAGTAGGATGGAATGGCCGCCCAATGCTTCTAGGTCTTCAATGGTGGTCTAACTTATATTGAATCGTGATTTCAATGAAATTCAATACCGTAATAAAGATACAAATATAATTATGAAACTATTCCTTCTTAAAACATGACTGCATAAAATACCCGACTGAAAAAACACCCTTCGTACACTAATCTATGAACTACTTGTACACCGAATTCAATAACCTAACCGATACAGCTGAATAAAGTAACAAAACAAAAGCTAAAGCATAACTTTTACAAAAGATAAATCATAGATAGAAACAAAATCTAGGTAGACAATAAAAATTACATGTCTGTAAGCTAACCATATCATTTCTAACTCTAACTACAATAAGAATGAATAAAACTTATTCCTTGCCTGTTAACTCCACAAAAAAGTTTAAACTTACTTTGTAGCTTTATTGAATATAGAGATATCAGGTCATTAATTGGCATTACAACTTAATTCATCATATAAAGATCAAATTCAACGATTATATGTTTAAAAAAACTGTCAGCTGAATGAAAATTACATGTAAATCAATACATTTATTTCAATCCTACTTAATTGTATATGAAAATTAAACAACCTCAACAAACAGAGGTACTAATTCAAGGAAAATTTTTTTTTGTTTACTTACCGTCTTGGCATAATCAAATGTAAACGTCTCCATAAAAGTTCCATAGAATGTACAAATTTACGATTAACACTTAAAAATCCATCATTTCCTTGTAATAATAATAATCTTGGACATTGTTCAGCTAATATTGGACCAAAATCTAATAAACAATCTAAACCGAATATTTCAATTGATTGTATCAATTGATTAATCATATAAATAAGATTTTTCCATAATGGACATATTTCAGCAAGATTATTCAATGTTGTTGGTTGCTTAATAGATATTGATAGTTTTGAAATTACTTGTTCAAATGCTAGATAAATATTGTTTATATGTTTTGTTAAACACAAAAGTAAAACAAAAAGAAAGAAGACATTACAGTTAAATAAAGGTCAAGTATTATAATTGTAACCATGTTTTCAAAAGACAACTAACCAATGATACTATTATAAGCAAAGATGGATAGTGGCTAGCAGTGGAATCCAGGACGCGCGTTTCGTCCTATTTGGGACTCGTCAGCTGGATGTACCTGCACCTCAGAGTTGATGTTCACTCTGGGACTCGAACCCAGTACCTTTCACTTTAAATGCCATCGCGTTATCCGCTAAGCTACTGAATCCTGATAGCCACTTGCTTGTGCAATGGGGTGAAGAGACTGACGAGTTGCAGTCCTAAGCATCAATGAGAAGATTCAAACAACCAATACTAAGTGATTTCAATGAGACTATTATTCTATACGGAGATTGAATTAGTTAATCAAACAGTCAATCAGATTACCAACATCAAGTCTGGTACAAATGTGCATAGATCCACGGTGACATAATACATTAGAACGACAAGATGAAATTGACAAAGTAAAAAAACAAAACATTACAATGGCAATGAGAATATAGTTCGAAAGGCAAGAATGAAAAAGTATATTTGGATCAATGAATAACTGTGGTCTGACATTTTTACCCACCAATTAATATTATAGTTAATACGACACTTGTTAAAGAATATCTCTTAAGCAAGTCTCCACAGCCAAGGATAAAGAGTTTAAAGCATTAAAATATATATAGCAGCTCTAAAAAACATTGTGAAGTTTATTGTTATACATAATTTTAAATAATCAGTACAGTATAAACAAGATCTGCTTCGGTTTGGGCACCCGGGTAGTATCACAGCCCTCACACAAAAAGTGTGACACATATGTATCTGGTGCCCCTTTGTACCAATATGCATGTGTTTAAATAAATAAATAAAATAAGTAGACTGAGATTCTCTAGTAGGGAAACATAAAATTTGACAACACAATTGTCAAATAAAGTTCACTTCCACAATACTCTTATTACTATTATTAGTAGTAGTACTATAAATGTCATACGGGAAAAACCCCAACAATAAACAGTCTATAGAATGTATCTACTATTCTATTCTATTTATTTATTTAAAAGAAAATATAGATGCATAAATATAGAACATGACCTTGACAAATACATGTCAATGTGCCTACTCTACATGTTGTTTAAAACCTCTGTAAACGTGCGTGAATTTATCTGATGAAACCGAGAAAACACGAAATAACGGTTATATATATCGCAATTCGTCATATTACAAAATCGACAGAGCAAGAAAACGGAAAACAAGAAAGAATGTTTCACATCATTGACCTGATGTACAGGAAGAAATAACAATAAGTGGCCCATAATCGTATATAAAGATAGTTAGGGATTAGAAATAAACTAAATAAAATCGATCAAATGAGTGGACACTATTGTACACGATATCCATTGTTAAATAGAGTGTTTTACATCAGACTAATTGATGTTTTTAAAAAGCGTTGGATTGGAAGTTGAAGAAATATTTCACTAAGTAAGTGACTAAAATAAACCAGAAGTTAGGTTTAGGTATTTGATTTTTTGATAACGATCACTACCAAATGAGTAGTAAAATGCGATCACATGTTGAAGAGTTTGTATGAATAAAAACAATTTATGAGCAGAAATGATGGTGGCTAGCAGTGGAATCAAGGATGCGCGTTTCGTCCTATTTTAGGGCTCGTCAGCTGAATGCACCTGCACTTCAGAGTTGATGGTCACTCTCGGACACGAACTCGGTACCGTTCGTTTCAAACGCTGTGTTATCCACTTAGCTACTGAGTCCAGATAATTACTAGCTTTTTGTATTGGTTGTTTGAATATTCCCATTGATGTTTAGGACAACAATTGATCAGTCTCTTATTGCATATGTACATCCAGTGCGGATCGCCTCGATAGTGTCTTAAGTCACAAGTATTTTAAGCAGAAATGATCAACTAGAGACTTAAACATCAATAAAAAAATGAAAAAAATTACCTACAGTTCAAAATGAAAGATTTCCTTTACAAACGACAGATTATTTTACTATCGATATCGATACCACTTAATCGTGGATTACAAAAGATTATCTTTTTTATATATCTAATAGACTGGTAAATTGACTCAGCTGGATGTATTTCAACAATTCCATTGAGTGAAGGTTTATTGTTTACTAAATTAGTTCGGCATTTTTTCAGTCATTTTTATGCTATCAACATTCACATTGCTAACTTGATGGTGTCATTGTACTCCTATAAAAACACACACACACACACACACAAAGATCGTACATTTTACTCTTTATTAAGCAAAGATTCATGTAATGTTATCGGTTAAATGCTCGCGCACGAGACAGATAGGTCCTGGGTTCGAATTTCACGAGGCGGGATCGTAGATGAGCACAGCTGAGGAGTCCCACAATACGACAATACGGCCGTCCAGTGCTTCCAGGTTTTCCATAGTGGTCTAGCTTCAATTGACTCATGATTTCAACTATATAATATCAGACATTATCAATCTTTACATACCAAAATAAAATAAAATCCATCAATATTTATTAGAAAATTCATTGTTCTATGGTTATGTCTATAGTTTTTTTTTTAAAAAAAAGGGACCAAATGTTAACAGAGTCGAATGAGTTAGAATGATTTTGTAGTGACAATAATATTGACTAGATTTTCTTCTTTCCTTCTTTTTTACAATCAGTAATTTATTTTTTTCTTTTTACAATGAATTACAATTTAATTATCCGTTTTATAAATAAAAGATTTCCCTAATGAATAAGCATAATTATATTCCTATATTCATTCATATGTATAGAGAGAAATATTTATAGAAATAAAACTTATGCCTACGATTTATAAATATTATGTATTATTTATTTAAACATAAATATTGGTACAAAGGGGCACCAGATACATATGCGCCGCACAAATCTCATTTCATTTGTGTGAGGGCTGTGATACTACCCAGGTGCCCAGACCGAAGCCAATGGTTTTCTGAGGGATCCACACCTGGAGCCTTAGATCTAAAAATCTGATCCACAAGGCAGTGGAACATTGTGAGGAGATGCAATAACATGGTAGCCGATGTCCAACGATTGATTCATATGTCATTTGTTCCCTCAGGATACTGGGGCCAGCCCATGTGCACCATTGGTTTGGAATCAGGGTTTTCCAACCCCTCTAGGTGAACTTTCCGTTTCCACTAACCCGGTTAAAGTACCGGACATTCTCTTCTCGTCCTCTTCATTTGGTAAACAACAGTAATGACGCGAGAAGGCAGTTAGTATGACTTCTATGGCAGAGGCTATATACGCGTGGCCATATGAGAGGATTTAGAGAGGGAGAGCTGACTCTCCCCACCCTCAGCCATACCAAAGCATTTGGATGATATAAGTAAAGGGGAAGAGAACGTAAGAATATGCACCAAGTGATAAGTAAACTTGATAATTAAATAAAGAAAAAAACAACAGGAGAACAAGAAAAAGAAATTTATACATTACATGAATTCTAATTAACGTCACTACATTTTGAACTGTATACATCAGGCTTTGTAATTTTCCGCTGTTAATATTTAGAACTATTTTTTCTGTTTATTTTCTGTGGTTATTATATTTGTACTTTAAGCAGTTCGAATGACATTTCAGTATGGACATTAAAACTAGGGTGGACATATATACAACTAACAAGTTTCAAAATGGATGTAATAGATGTCCTGGATCCTACAGCTGATTACATATTTAATATGCTATTGTACAAATTGATTTTTAAAAAAAAAACTAGTCAGTTCGTATACGGTCGTTAATGTATGACGCGTCCAAAAAAACTAGGACCAAAAACAACTGTCCATTGTCCTCTAGACTTGGATGATTCTTCTACTGATATTAGTTATTAAAATGATAATCCCTTAATAAAAACTAAATAAGAGCTTTAAGATTGTAATCGATTTCATTATTTTATGTATACAAAACTTCCATAATAGTTTGTATGATTATATATGATACAACTGTTAGCATTAATACTGTATCATTTAATGTAATTATTTACAAGATTTATTCATGAATACTTCTAAGAGTGAACGGATAGACTATACTACTCTTCCAACATACACTGACACCAACAGATATCGCCTGTCAAGTTGAGGGGCGGATAAACATACGCTGTATATGTTCCAACAGTTCACCAGTCGATGTCAGCTATTGACGAGAACTACGTTTTAAGTACATTGAGTCATTATTATACTAGAAAATAAGTAATCAAATTGATTTGAGGGGTTGATTTCAACTGATTCCAAAGAAAAACAACTCCGACGTATAGCATGTTTTGTAGCATTTCTACTAAGTGAATCACAGAATGGATACAATAGTCCAATTCGTATAATTCGAAACTTCGGGAAAAAAGCCAATGTTCATAATCCAGTTATCATCATAAATTTTAGTACTCAAAAGCGACTCGATTTGAAACAGTCAGAACTTCCAACATCAATGTTTCAAAAAATAAACAATCTGAAGTCACATAAGTAAGTGATTTGAAAAATTAAAAAATGTTAATACCAAGTGAACGAACTCCCGAATGAGTATTTGCACATTTAACCGGCTAATTCAATGTTTCCAGGTTTTCCATGGTGGTCTAGCTTCAATTGACTCACGCTTTCAACAATGATAAATACTAAATCTCCACAAAACCCCTTCTATAATTAATTCAATTAAGCTGACGAATATCGAAAATAACTTGTAAAATTCCAGCCAGATAAAAACGCAACTGATGTGATCCGCAAAACTAGAAGCCTGAACAAATTACGGAAGCTATTTTCGGGGACGTTAATTCATTTAATTCAAAGCTTGTAAAACTGTAATATTTACTTTTGCCCCTAGCCTATTCTACAGATCATAAGCTTTCGTTTGATGTATAATTCATCGCCATAGCATTTTCTGCCCTAAAGCTATTGTCATTTAGACGTAATCTTTTGTACC